ATCGATTTAGTAGTGCTGGTGCGGAAGGGAAAGAGCATTCACTTGACATATAAAAGAGATGGGTATTTACTGCCAATGGGTTTTGTAAAATCTCTTTCTTAATAGAATAGTTCACCGCGTCGATCACGAGGCCCATAGTTTGCTCATGGTGAATGGACATTTCGTGTATTATCTATCTACTGCTTACTCGCTGCATGTCTGCATCACCTTTCTCTTCTTTCTTTCTTTCTTCTTTGTCCATTCACACTACCCTGCTCTTGTCTTCAAACCCATCCATTCTCTTTGCCCATGCAACCTGCTCCTATCCGGCTTGCCCATCTCCACCCAGCAAATATAACACGAAGCGGAATCATGCTGTGCCGTAGTCGGCCCATTCCATACGGCGAGTAATACCCTGGAGTCGAAATAATATGAGAGTTACGTTTAGTAATGTCTTTTTTTCTTCAATATACTCTACGGATGCTACCCATTCCAGATAATATGCCGTCGCAAAGGGAAGAACGCAATCGTTTCCCTGAAACAGTCGGCACTTATGCAATCGTGGCGAGGAAAGTGGATGCCCAATGCGCTTGAGATAATATAACAAGAGGAACCGGGTAGGCAGCAATATATCCTTTTGGTGTAACTCGTAGTTTTGCCATTGCAAATAATTCGCCAAAACCGTGGTCGTTGCTGCTCATACTGTGGAGGAGTGCGGTTGGGATATGACACTATGCGAGGTAGCCCAGTTCATCGTCATCCAGGCGTTCAAGATACTCTTTGTCCAGCAGGATCTCAATACATTTCTTGATGTCACCAACTTTGGGAACAAATCTCGAACGAATCTGGTTGATGGTTTCGCTGACAAGTTGAGTGTGTTTCATCTTCTTTCGTGCCTTCATGATTCGGACAATGGCCGACTGTCGACAAGGTTAGAAAAGTGCCATCCACTTCTCCATCTTGAGAAACACTTTGGGATGTGGGTGTGCTTACCTGAAGGACCAACTTGCGATCCTCCTCAATGGTCTTGTTAGTCTCCGTCTCTTCTTGCTTAGCCTCCTTGACACCACCCAGATTGAGGTTGACGCGAATCTTCTTGCTCTTGAACTCGTAGTTAAGACTGAAGGACCTTCCTGGTTTAGGTCTTTCGCCCGAACCTCCATCCATCAACAGCACTTTGGCCTTGAGGATGACGGCCAGTGCTTGATCCAAAACTTCAGTGCTCAGTTGTGTTGCCGTGACCATGTCATCATATGTGTAGGTGTCCTTCTCGTTGAATAGCAAAAGAATAGCCATTTGGTAGATTGAAACCTGGAATGTGAATGGCGTTTTGCTGTTCTTGCAATATCCCGCCCTGACTTCACCTTTGCATAAATGCCACAACCACGTCAATTTGCGCCCGTCATGCTTGTGCTTGTAGAATCGCGAAAAGCGCTCAATTTCTGTGGCAATTTCCACAGGCGGGTGAAAATGCGTCGATGGCGCTTGCAGTGGCCAGAAACCGGTACCCAAAATTGAGAAGGTTGAGTCAACAGTCTTGAGTGAGTCAACGCTTTCTAGGTGGCCCCGGAAGTCTTTGTTCAAGTCCTTTGAGATCTGCATGTCTTGGAACATGCGTTGTAGCTTATTGGTATATTCAAAACCACATGCCTCCTTGAGCTTGCTAATCATGCTCGTTTCAGCGTCATCCGATGACGAGTTGCTATGAACGAGGCGTCGGGCCAACATCCGGGAGTAATACTTCTGGAATACATCCTTGTCTTCGATGTATTTGAAAACGGTCATAATCTGGGTCAAAGTCCGCTCCAAATCGCCTTCTTCTATACTGGTGCTACTCTTACGGAGTAAGACGTCGGTATACTTGGCTAGGAGCTCCGGTGACTTTGTGGAAGTATCCTTGCATACTTCGTTGCGATTGACAAACTCCCTGCATGCGTTGTCAAGCGAGCGGGTAAACTCTGGCTCGTCATTGAATGCTTGCTTGACCAATAACTGATACTGGGAGTGCACCTCGAGTAGCGCATCCACATACACTTTGGGTTCAAGCTTGTCACCTTCCGAGGACTGTACCTTCTGAACAGCTGCGAGACCAGCCTTGAGCACATGCTTTTCGAATTTAGTCCGCAATGGGTCCAGGCCGTCAGGGATTCTGGAGAGAAGGTTATACATTCTAGCCATGTCTTCCTCTCGTTCATTGTCCAACAGGACCTGGAATTCCTCCCGCAGCAACGTTGAGTGTTCGGCAATCAGAGCCGTGTTGCAAGTCTTCTTCAATGGGACCGCGATGTCCTGATGCAAATACATGACGACCCTTTCCTCTTCTTCGGCCAATCGTACTTCGGCCTTTTTCATGTATTCAACAACGCTATTTTCGGCGACAAATTGTTTCGATTCGGCGGTGTAAAATTCTGCGGTAGCTTCCAAAAAAGGCCTCTCAAAGTAGTAACGGTAAACGTCCAATGTAGACCTCGACATGTCGGCTTCGTCCAGACCAAGGGATACAAAGGAGTCGACAACTTGTTTGATCTGGTTGTGCTCAATCGTCTCGCCATTTCGCTGCTTTTCCACTAGCTTCAAAACGGCGTCCATTACCTTTCCGGAGACCTGTTCGAACAAAACCTTGCGCCATTGCACGAGGTGCAGAGTATAGACATCGTACACGTTCTTTTTTCCCTCATCGATTTCTCTCTTGACCCAGTGACGGTTTAAGTATCGGAAGAGATGGTGGATGTATTTTGCCGCATTGGTGTATCGACTCCACTCCTTGATGTAGTATGCCAGCAGTGCCTCGTCGGTGTGCGATTTGGATGCCTCGACAAGATCTTCAAGATGCTTCTGGAGGTAGGTAATGAGGTTGTTGTAGAGTTCTTCACCGAGGAGATGGGCTACGCACGAAAGAGAGGATTAGCTGAGACTGACCGTCGAAGGCGTCAACGCATCGGCCTGTTATGTGAGAACTTACCACCACGGTGGTTGGACTGCATGGCTGGCCCGGTGAGACCAACAGCCTTTTGTGAGGTGCAAAAGTTGTGCACGGCGCTGTGTATGATGGCAAGTCAGCACATTATTATTTCTACAATCATGCTGAAGGTGAGAGCTTGATGAGCAGAGACGGGAAAGCACGCACGTGTAGACACCCATGTACATTTGCATGTCGATTCCTCTCTCTAGCTCGTTCATGATACGAGTGATGCCAGACTGGAGATAATGCCATCTGAGATGCACGACAGGTCAGCCATGTTTTGTCGGTCAGCAGCGGTCGGGGAGGAGCATCTTACGTCGCCCCAATGTCCTCCCTATTCGGGACTGGAGGCATCTGGCTAGGAGTAGCCATGCGTGCAGCCATCCTTCTGCTGGAGAGACGACGTGGCCGCGGTCGTCACGAACAGGCAGCGCGGGGTTCGAGTCAAGAGTCGTGCGGGCCAAGGAGCACGCGGCACACGAGGCAGAGACAAGAGGTCGGATTTGCGACGACGACAGCGGCCAAGGCAGATTGGCGAGAGTGGTGAGAGGAAGTCTCGAAGAAGCGTCCAGGTGCCGGAAGTGGAAGGGACGGCTTCGGGATAGGGTGCGGTTTTGAACTGTTGAAGGGGGTGGTTAGGCTGAGGTGCGGCGCAGATGCAGGTTGAAGGATAATGCACGAGGTCAGTCAGAGTCGGAACGGAGGCCAAGGCTGCGATACGGTGCCGTCTGGAGGTGGCGAGCGTACCGCGGGAGCTGTTACCGATCGATACACAATAATCAGATGGCTGCAGTCGGGTCTGAATCGCGGCAACAAAGGAATTCGCGAAATGAGAACAAGGATGCAGTCGAGAAGTTTGACAAAAGGGAAGGTGGATGTCGTGACAGTGGATTGACTATTTGTTCATCAAAGTAACCAAGAACCCAATCCGCCACAGGCAGGCGGCAGTCCAAGTGCCCGTCCGCTAGGCTGGTCAGCCTTGAGACATGCGCCAATGTGCCGAAGTACTTGGGCGCCCAAGGGCCGACCAAAAATACCACGGCCAAAAGCGGGCTAGCGCAAGTTAGGTATGTACTTACTTAAGTAGTTGGCTTGCATCCGAAGGCGGGAGACGACAACTACTTAAAAGAAGCGCGGTGGTTGAAGCAGTGTGGCTGTAGCCATTAATTTTAGGATCAATTGATACTTAAGAATTGTGATTGGGGCTGGCGAGCACAGTGGGATGATAAAAGTCACGATAATTAGCGATTTTACACCTAAATTTAACATGAGTAATATTGTACTTGAGTGTATCAATAAAGGAAATAAAGGCAAGTACAAAGATCCTAAATTGCCTATTCAGCTATTATCACTCTACTCTGTATAGGTGCAGCCAAGACTGAGAGACCTGTGTAGGTAGCTCAGGTATAGAGTACCGTACTGTTAATTGGTATCTCTACTACCTGATACTCGGTATGTACCCAGGTACTTTATAAGCCAGACTCCTAAAAGGACTTACTTTAAGTAAAGTAAGTAAGAAAAGCAAAGCCAACAGCGGTGGTGCATCTCATATCCAAACTTAAAACGATGCAGAAGTAGTCCTACCCGCAATAAACTTTAAAAGCTAGTGGATTGAGGGATAGCTACTCCGCAGACATTCGTCTTTGCGCATCCTAGCTAGATCTGTCAAAGTTTCACGCATAATTGACGTCGTTGGCCTGTTGGCTACAACTGGCTTCAATGCTCAGAATGTCTATGGGCAAGTACCCTGTGGCATACATCCGTCAATTCCAAAATGTTGGTCCTGATACGCATATATATGCCCAAGTAAATGCCGCTTGGAAAAGACGTGCCCCATATCAAAACAATATCTACCTAGGTAGGAGAGTCCATATAGTACATGTGATGGCTGAATCAGAATATACCATACAATTTCTATTTCGCTTCGAAAAAACGGGTAAAATATAAAGAGAAAAAATACACTTAAAAAAAAACTTTCAACGCTGACCATATACTTATGATAGTTAAGAACCCCCCCATAAACTCCTCATCTACACTGTACATCGCTCGCCCATCCTCATCATACACCACTTCCATCATTATCATCCCCTCCGCCTCCTAGCCGCTTGACGGTTCGGAAAATGTTGATTGTAAATGTCATCGACCAGGAACAGAGGCCAATGAGCTGGAAGACAGCCAAGGCCACAGACAAATGGACGAGTTGGTTCTGCCGCACATTATGATATATAAAACTTTCAAACGCCAGGGCTGTGCTCGCAGACTTGAATATGATGAAAAACAGGTCGAGCAAAATCAGCGAGATCTTTGACATGGCCGACCGTAGTCCCAGTGGCTTCCCCGTATACTCGTCCCATATCATATACCCAATGTAAGGAATTGCTAAACAGTCCACTACGATGGCAACCACTACCTGGGCTCGCTCAGCGCTGCTATTTTGGTTCATGCTGTTTTCTAGCTGATATATTCGAGCCGCAATTCCAAGTGCCAAGATGGAAGTCACCATTACGCCCAACCGGAATAGAAATGGCGATAGCGGATGTCGCATGATCCGGTTCCATATATGCCTTGGTAGAGCTGCCAACTTTCGATGGTCCTTGACTCGCACGTCTGTGTGATGGAACTGGACATCCATCTCTTTATTGAATGTCGGCTGGAGCTGATCGAGGACGTGATGATCGACAACTTGGGATTCTTCATTGGGCATCCGCCCCCAGGCTGACGACCGTACAAAGTCAAACCATGACGATTTGCTCTGGGTTGGTGCTGGTCTGTAGTGAGAGACAATGACTGGTTCGTTGGAACGCAAGTGATCCCACTTTCTACCGCGCATAGAAGCGCGTCCATATCGAAGGAAGTGAGGGATTTTGGCTCGAGAACTCTGGGCTGGGCCTAGGGACGGATCATCCCAGGCGACGAAGCCATCTTTGGAGACACGGCGTTGAGGTGGATTTGGAGAAAAATTGGTTTGATGCTGCACGATACGCGCTGGTGGTTGCAAAAGACGAAGCTGTTCATCGCTAACGGGTCCGTATCTCTCCTCGTACGAATCAATCCAAGCTGTGGGGGGGTAAATGCATCGTTAGCAAAAGTAGTTTCGAAAGTTTGGGAACTGCACTACAGTACAGCGAATCTCGAGCAACACGCACGGGGAAGGGTCCTAGGAGGTCGGAGGCGAAGGATAGGATTCTCAGTCGCCGCCTCTGATAGATATGTATATCTAGATGTAGTCGGTCCGGACGAGCTTGATTCCGCAGCGGTTGGAGGAGGCGATGACGATGGCGCAGCACACGACGCTGGGTCCTTCATCGCGGCAATCTGTGTGCTACCCAAGCAGCCACATGGGTTGAGCGCCAGCGGTTCGACGATTAGCAGCTTTGCATGACTCCTTTGTGCCGCTTGGTATGTGGAAATGCCATCCAGAGATGTCGCACGTACGATGGCCGTTACATCAAGTTTACGCGACCCGAGATGCGAGCTGGCTGAGGTGCTGTCATGAGTTTTGACGCGGGATGATCAGAGTTCTTGTTTCTGGCGTGCTCTGAAGTGCTGCTGTCTGGGGTGGCTGTAGCATCCAATTGGCGCTTGCTGTGCAGAGTAGAAGCGAGTTCAATGTTTGGACAGAAAGCGAGCCCCGCGTTGAGCAGGGGTTTGGTCGGTCATCAACGGGTCGTTCCTGCCAAGTGTGGCTAGCGTTCACTTGCGCCTTCTGCCGTCACCTGATGGCGCGCGAGACAGAGGGACAGAGCCACAGCAGCTAACCACTTTACACACTCTTCACACGCGTTGCCTTTTCGCGGGGCGTGACCAAGATTAAACCTCGAGACCCCCGAGAACATTGGCGTTTGCGTTGCATGCAACCAATACTAGAGTGTTCGCACTTCCAATGATTTTGAGGTTAACGGTCCGATGCTCAAGTCATTCACACCAACCTGCCCGCGTATTGCAGCTCACCTGGGATGCCTAGGTAGCTAGGCTTGGGTTTCCATCATCGAACAACTTCGGCTGAGCTTCGCCGAGAAAGCCAGCTCGCATCGGGTATCCCTCGAACCAATGCAACTTGCAGCCGTTCTCAGGGTGCCATAAGCATCAACATGCAACCAGGTCTCAAAGCAAAGAGCCGTGGGCTTCAGGCATTTGCTCGTGGCAAGTCTGACAGCAACGCCAACTACAATGCTGCCACCGAAAATCCGTCTCAACCACAGCCAGAGCAACGCCCAGCCACGCCAAGTGCAAATGAATATGTTCCGAGCCGACAAGAACTAGCGGAGTTTGCCCGACTTCCTCTACCTGGAGCTGTCCGCAATCCGCTAGGTAGTCCTCGCCCCGGTGGTCAGCTCAGTAACCCGCAGAAGCCTCAGTCACCACTGAGACGAGGTCTTGCATCACCAGTCAGACAACAAGTGAACCAGATCCAAGCAACTCACCAACTGCAGCATGACATCTTCACCGGTTCGCAGCTGGGGGAAAATTTTATGATGTCAGGGCTGTCAACCCCTGTTAATGAATCTGAGGACCTAGCCATCAGACGAACTCCAGACATCAAGATAGAAGACCAACGCCAAGATCGAAATCTTATTCAAAGACTACCACCTAGGCAAGTGCCGGTCACCACAAGCCAGAAGCATGAATTTGCGTTTGGTGCAGATGGTCGACTCTCTGTTGTCCCAGGTCTGCACCGCTACCACCCATCACATATGAAAGATGGATTTTACAACAACGATGCTCAACTCGGCCCAAGGCCATTCAAATCACAAAAGTCGGCCTATAGTCTCCCAATGCAGTCAGCTCCAGCCCATACAAAGTTGCCAATGCGCGGAGTTCGAATCAATCGTGGACAGCTTCCAGGAACCAATGCCCTGATCATTCAAGAAGATAAAGTTAAAGACAAATTCATTGAACGGAGGGACGGACAGTGGCAAGAACAGGCTATCGAGGAGAAATTTAATGAATCCATCCTTGTGAATGATTCGGATGACGACGTTGACGCTCTTGGTGCATTTGGCGGCATGCATACGGCGCTCAAGCCCAATATGCAAAATGGACATCGCACAAGGAGAGAAGATGGCCTATCTTCGAAAATTTCCCGAAATGCGCCGGCCAAGGATAAAAAGCGTAGACTACCGAGCCTAGACTATGACGACAAAATCCTCAGTTCCATGACATATCAAGATCTTCAGGAAGAGCCGTTTGATGTTGTGCCGCAAATACCTGGGATGAACGGCCATGATATGTCTACTTCGAAATTAACAACGAGGCTTGAACAGTTTCAGCAGCAAGGGGAGCACGAGCAGCGTCAGTTCTTTGCCAACATGTCAATTGAGGATTGGGAAGACTCTGGCGATTGGTTTGCTGATCAGTTCTCGGACATAATGAAACGTCTACGAAACGCTCGACGCGAGAAGCGTGAAATGATTCGGTCGTTTGAGACAGAAGCTTCTCACCGAGAAGAGGCCATACGCTTGCAGACTGATGCTATCGATAGAAAATTAACCAGGATGAAGCAAGATGGCCAACGAGTGGTCGGCGACAAGGATCTGTAAAATTTGCAAAGCACCTATGCTGTATCATGAGTAAAAGTAATGGTGGATTAGTCAACGATCAAGATGGATGAAAAATGCATTTAAATAGGAGTTAGGACTGGGGTTTCTGGAAGGCAATAATCAACGAGCATGGCGTTTTTAGAAGCGGGATATGGAAAATGGCACGCCGATATACCTCGGTCGGAATGGGGATGCAGTTGCTCTTCTTGCTTTCTCTATATACGTATATATCACTTGAAGCTCATGGTGTATTTGAACAATAAACATTCATATCCGCACAACTTCCTTGACCTTTCTATCCCTACCAACAATCATGCGCAACTGACACTCGGGCCTGTCCTTGAATATTCCTCTCCTCATACCATCTGTATAGAGCTCATAGGCAGGATAATACCCATCCACAAACCTGACCACCTGCTCGGGAGTCATCCCCGCCGTCGGATCACCCCTGGTGGCCCGCAACGAATCTTCCTGCTCCTGTCGCCAGGCATACACGTACTCTGCATCCTCAGAGTCAATATGTATAAACGCGTCAAAAGAATCCGTCAGGGCGTCGTAGTTGCTCAGTTCCTCATTGACAAATTGCAAGTGCTCCAGTTTATGTTTATGCAAGGTCCTACTGGGGCCTTTCCACTTCGCCTCCACCTGAGCAGCCGGGACGGAACGGAAGCCGACGCACCAGCCTTCAAAGATGACGACCTGGACGGGTGGTTGGCCCGGGTGGTTGGCCGGCCGCCACTGGGAGGGCGGCAGGCGGTCGCCCTGTCCGGAGAAGAGGGCCTTGTCGTACTGCGGGATAGAGGTGGGCAAGTTGTTGAGGAGCGAAGCAAAGACAGCCTTTGCCAGGGGGACGTCGTGCGTGCCTGGCTCCCCGCGATGCTGCACGAGTGCGTTCTCAGGATGCGACGCGGCTAGCCTGACCTGCTCGTCGTGGGGGAGATAAAAGTCGTCGATGCTGAAGACGAGCGTGTGGATGCCACGGGCGTTGAGGGCGGCGGCCAGCGGCGCGACGAGAGTCGTCTTGCCGACGCCCTGCATGCCGTTGAGGCCGATGATGAGCGGGCGGTCCGGGGATTTGGTCCGGTGGGTTTGGAGGAGCTGCGTGATGAAGGGGATGCATATTGGTGCTTTGTCATCTGCGAATGTGGACATTGTGGCCGACTGCTTGTTTGGGGAGTGTGGTGAGGAGTGCCGTGAGCGGGATGAGGTTCTAACGAGTTGGAGTTTGTCGACGGTCCGGAGCCGCCGCGGCCGGAGCCGGAGTGAGGGGTTGGAGTTAAAAGTCTGGGGTGATGCCCGTGGCGGGAGACGGCGATTTCCCATCATGTAAGTCATCAACAAACTCGACATTGCTTAGAAGACGCTACGACTTTTGCGTCCTAATTTTGAGAGCTTTGTGTGACGTAATGGTATCCTTAGGATGAGAAACCCCTCTGCTACATGACAATCCCGTCAAACCCCCACAACACATTATCCCAACTCATAGTCTTTAAATCAAAATCCGCATCGAGCGTCTGCCACCGCTGATCCATACCCACCATCTCAACGCCCATCTGTTTGTCCCCCACGTCCTGGTACGCCTGCTCGAGATGCTCTGTTTGCTCGAGGACGTGCCGTGCAGTCTCTCGGCTCCTGGGTCGTTGAGCCACCAAGTCCGCCACAATGGCCTCTGAGACGCCGTACTTCGTCAACATCTGGCTCGCAAACTCGAAAAATAGCTCGACGACATTCGAGTCCTCCTGCTGATCGCTCATCAGCCTCCACGCATCAAGCATGTCTGACCTTTCCCTCTTGAAATCGCGAATCTCGGTGCCGGAACAGACATCCAGCAGGAACACCGCACTTGCCATGATCAAGGACCTCAGGTAGTTGGTCACTTTGAGACGCGGAATGATCCAGGAGTACCGGGACTTGACATCCCTGTGTAGGCGGACGATCTCGCTGGCGGAGCTGAGGCACGCTGTGCGAGATGGCGCGTACTTGGGATTGATGATGGAGAGGGACAGGTATTTGAGGTGGAGAAAGCAGCGCAAGATGTAGACCATGCAGTTTACTTGGATGCGGTGGACGACCAGCGCTGGCTTTTCGTGTGTCGGAGGGGTGGATAGTCTGTTGAGGGAGAAGAACGGCGGCAGTTCTCGCTGGTATTGCTCAAGGCGGGCATCGTGTTGCAGCAGTTTTTGGTAGTCTGCGTCTGTCTCGGACTCGGAGAGCGGGCAGCGGTCAATATACTGGCGGCTGATTTCCGTCAGGCGAATTCGCTCCAGGAAGTAGGACATGTCGCTTTGCTGTTCACGTTCCTGAAGGGATGGAGTCCCGTCCTTGCCGTCTCCGATGATTCTGGGTTTGTTGACGGCCATGTGTTGAGGATGGATGGTGTATACACCCTCGTGAGCGCCAGGGAATATTGCGAGCAACCTAATATCATATACGCCTGCGTATTAGTTCCTAGCTGTTGAAATGCCATGATGGAAAGGACAAGAATTCGACGTACCAATCTAAGGCAACAAGGTCCCACCATAATTGTCGCCGGATCTCCATGTCCATTTCCGACTCTGTACCAAGACTGCCGGGTTTATTTCCAGGGTGATCTATGCGGTGAAACCCTAGGTCGCGAGCCATGGCTATAGACGTGGATATTAGGCTCCGGGTTCGTACTGAGCTTCCTTCCATGAAGGCAGAGACTTTGCACAGGATGTTTTGTCCCTGAAGACAGACTATGCTTCCTTGGCCACGCCTCTTGATCTCGTCTGACAGCGCATAAGAGGCGGCCAGCCACGATGCGCACTGTGTATTCGCTTCCAAATGACTTGCAAAGAGCTTGCAAACGTCGCCTTCGGGCGAAGAGGCATATGTCACTGAAGCGATAATGGATAAGAACAGGAGTAAATCTGACTTGTCTACCGGGGTCTGCTGCTGGACACTGGTGTATATGCTTTGCATGGAGAGAAGTGCCGAAGGGATATGGAACATGGGGCACAATATTGAGCACTCTTCCTTGAAGGCGTGCAAGATGATGCAAGCTTCGTGGTATAGAGGCAGGGTGAGACAGATCTCCCGGCCCCCAGCTGCAAGCGATCCAAATGCCGAGGCCACATCTTGTATAATAGAGTATGGTTTCTTGATGAGTCTTATCGGCGAAAGCTGATATGTCGCACACCCGTCCAAGAAACTTGTTTCCTACACACAGAAATATATTCTCAGCTCGAATGTTACAAACAACGAAACTTGGTTTTTGGTCTTACAGGTGGGATACACTTGGCCGTCTTGCAGCAGAGAAAGTGGCCCCCAAACCACAGAGCATCCTCGGACAAATGCTGCACAGTAGACGATGACGGGGGAGACAGTGGCTGGGCATGGCGGGATCGTGATCGTGACGATGGCGATGGCGGATGCGCATCATCAATCTTCTCGGCCGAGGGCGTGGAACCCGGACGGGGATCAGAAAGGCCCGTAATCCAAGTCTCCAACCTATCCAGCCGGGCGCGAATGTCGGCGTTGGAGACATTCGCCGCCTTTGGCTCATCCTTGTCCTTCACCTCGGGCGCCGGCTCAAGAGGCTCGTAAAACTGCACACACTGCAGGCCCCTGGACGTGCAGTTAGAGCATGGAAACTGGCGAGAGCATCGTATCTTGCGTCGCCGGCATGACTGGCACGCGATCGGGCGTTGGCGCCACTGCCGTCCCATGGCTTGTGTTTCCGCAATACCTGTCCGGGAAATAAAATGCAATGATGGACTTGGCGCATATCCTTTTTATTTTTGGTTGCAAGCCTATCCAGCCTGGATGGAATTCCGGGGAACCTTGGAATCGGGATGTCATGGACGGACTTTAGGTTCCCAAGTCCGCGCACTTTTCACACCCCGATGGGTCCGACTGTCCCGACTTTTCAACCCCGACTTTCACCATCATGTTGGCCAGCGGAAGAACCCTTTGCAGAAGTCTATTCACCACAAGGTCTGCTTTTGCATATTGATAATCTTTCTTTCTGGTAGCGGCGTTGTAGCTTCCTACTGTTGGACCGGCAGTTTTGCTTGGCCAAGCAGGTGGCTGTGGTTGTAAATGCATGTTGCTGGGTTTGCGAGCATTTCGTCGCAATCGCGAATCGCGGGCTATTAGAATTCTTTGCGATTCACAATTCAAGTCCCGTGCGCGATAAGCCCATACAATAACGTAGAATTATGGCACTGTCGAGTAGGCAGTACTTATGCATGCTTCGCGCAATCACATGGCCTCGCTCTGGCAAGCTCGGGCTTACACTGGCAAGGTATGGAACTATCCTTTCTGAGCTGCTGATCATTAACAAATACTAGATGGATAAGATGCCCACCATGTGCTGATCCTGCCATTGACAGTTAGTGGGAGCTCATCCCCTGCCGTTCGAAACTGCGGTTGAAAGAGGACTGCATCCCAACAAACGACAGACATTATGCATTGATTGCGGCTCGTTGTATTGCCCGTATTGATATCATCGGCCGACGCGACCAGAAAACGATGATTGAAGTGCTGGTAAAACAACTCCCCAACAACTCCTCTTGTTTTTAGTCATGACTTTTGTCGGCCGTTTGCCGACTACCCAAGGACCACGTACGGCTGCTTGGCAAGATAGAGTTACAGACCGGCTACTCGCCCCGGCGCGAGGTAGGCAGCCTTGTGGTCTGCATAATTGCATCCGCTTGATGAAACCAAAATGGAACAATTGCTAGCAAAGTGCCTGGTAGTTTAACAGAATGGAAGGGGTTCGCAAATAGCCACACCTTGACTCGTGAACGACAATGCCGGCGGGAACCATTTCCTGCTCCATGCCAGGCGATTTCTCAGCATTGCAAGTCCAGAGAACTTGGAATAAGTTGCTCGTAAGTGGGATAGATGAGTGAAAAGTTACTCAAGCAGCGTGTTTTGGCTCCCTCGTTGTCCACAAGTTGTTGAAGAACTTGGACATATGCAAGGCAAGAAGGTGCGTGGGCCACAGTTGCCTCACAAGACCCTGGCTACTATCTTCTAGGTGCTCAAGTCATTGATCGCATAAGGCCGAGCGCATAGCGACCCAGCCCTCAATTTAACAGTAAAAAGACAAAAGTCCCCACTTGTACAGCCTTGCAGGGGCCACGCAAACAACTTTCTCACGCCGTATAATATGTATGATACTAATTATGTCTGGCAGTGGCAGTCTGGCACAATGTGGAGGTGCAACGGTGACAATTGGCCACGATAACGTCGGCACAGGAGGCACAAGACCAACCTAGAATGCGGCCCTGGAGCACAGCACAGCACAGCACAGCACATGCCAAGGTTTTTGATGTCGGTTTTATGTTGTAATTGGGAGGCGGGGAAAACACTGACGAGGCAGGTCCGTCCGAGCTTGGCTGCGCTTATCTCGTCACTTGCGCCGACATGGGTTGGCCCCCCCCAAGTTATGCTTGCTACGTCAAGAGTCAAGACACATCTTCTTGTTTATTCTGCTCGCTGTCGTCCTTGCCCTTTTATTTTAGACGCCCATACAAAGTACACAGAGCCATCAATTGATCCATTCGCGCTTGAGTGAATAACCATCTGCGCATCATACAAGGCGTAAATTGCCTGGTTGCAGAATCAACTTCAAGTGTTGACATTTTAACTTTCGTTATCCGCACCTGCCCAAAGTCAATCATTCCCCCACCCATTGGTCGCGCAGCTCCACGTGCCTTGCATTGCCTGGGACCACCTCCGCGACCTGTCTCTCCTTTTCACCCAGTCGCTCGTCAACGCAGAAGAGCACGGCGACGTGTCTCCATTCTTAAATTTGTTGTCGACGCCCACCCTTTGTGCTTTTCGAGGCCTGCGTCGAATTATCAACTCATGACAGTGCGATTGAGCTTCAGGGAGCCTTAAGTGCCTCCCGTCGAAACCACCGTCACCACTCTGACCGCCCAACCCTCCGAAGACGGCAGCTGCCCATCGGGCCTACCTCGAGGTGCAACAGAAATCTTCGAGGACGTCTGTTGGCAATGGCATCGCCATATACTTTGCCCTCCTCTGCGCTCCCTCATGCCCACCAGCAACACATGCATTCTCAAGCTCACAGCCACACTCATCACACCCATACTCAGTCTCAATCGTCTCTAAATGCCTGGCGAGCATCAATGTCGACCGGATCCCTCCCCCAATCCCTGGCCGACGATGGCCACGACCACGACCACGACCACGGGCAACCACATTCAATCTCGAGACAGCCCTCACATGCTCGTCAAACCCCCCGCTCTTCCAATACCAGCGTAGCATTGCATCGAGAGAAACCACCGCCGGCTTCATTAAATTCCCTGGACGGTTGGACAAAAGAGACGACAGCTGGTGGCAAGAGTATTCTGACGCCTGGCCCCGACGCCGCCACAACACCATACTCGCCTCCAATCCAACACGGCCACAATCATAGCCATCACTCGCACCACCACGATCACAGCCCGGATCACCATCACAATCATGAGGTCGGACACAAACATGACCATGCCCACATCGACGAACATCGATCAGACCCTGGCAAAGCCCCAAGATCCCTGTTCACAAGGACATTATTAAAATATACAGCTCGGTTTCCCATTTTGCATGCCATTCTTGTTGAGAAGGACTCGCGAAGAATCTTTTACTTTATGGTGTTAGTCATGATTCTTGCGCCGATATAACACGGGATCACGCTAACATAATAATTCAGATTGAACTTTGGGTTTATGACTGTTCAAGCATTTTACGGCTACGTCACCGATTCGCTGGGACTTCTTAGCGACAGTATACACATGTTCTTTGACTGTGTGGCACTCATGGTAGGCTTGCTGGCAGCTGTCATGAGCAAATGGCCTCCGAGCCAAAAATTTCCATATGGGTTTGGCAAGATCGAGACTCTATCAGGTTTTGCCAACGGTATTCTTTTGATGTAAGCGAGGCCTTTGGCTTTCTTCGTCAGCTTCAGATTTGTTAACATGTATATTTAGGCTATTGAGCGTTGAGATTGCTTTCGAAGCGTTTGAACGATTATGGGAGGGGACCAAGACGAAGCGACTCGGCGAATTATTTGTTGTGAGCAGCCTAGGTCTCGCAGTAAATTTGGTTGGCATGATGGCATTCGGCCACCACCATCACCACGGCCACAGTCATGGTCACAGTCACAGTCACAGTCACAGTCACAGTCACAGTCACAGTCACAGTCACAGTCACGGTCACGAACACGACCATTCCCATAATCACGACAACCACAAACACGGCCATTCACATGGCTGCGGCGGCAGCGATCATGGCCATGACCATTCGCATGACAACGAAAATATGCACGGCATCTACCTACACGTTCTGGCCGACACGTTAGGCAGCGTCTCGGTCATTGTCTCGACAGCACTGACCAGCATATGGGGGTGGGCTGGCTGGGACCCCTTGGCGTCATGCTTCATCGCCGTTCTCATCTTCTTGTCCTCCATGCCGCTTGTTACCTCCTCAGCAAAGCGCCTGCTTCTCAGTGTCCCCGAGGCTACTGAGTATAACCTGCGCAACACTCTTGGCGGGATCCTGGAGCAGCGCGGAGTGGTAAACTACTGGGCTCCCAAATTCTGGTTGGATGACCGAACTGGAAGCGCGGATGGCGAGAAGCTTGTCGGCGTTGTGCATGTTGTGGTGGCACGCGGGTACGGCATGGACGAGGCGCGGGATAGAGTGCGTAACTTCTTAAAGAGCCAGGGGGTCGAGGCAATGGTGCAAGTGGAACGGGAAGGTGACAATGCCTGCTGGTGCACAAGAGGGCGTGGCTCCGTAGCATCGCCGTCTGCTTCGAAGATGCTTTAGAAAAAGCACATGCGTGGTAGCTGGGCGTCTGCTGAAGCAACCGTTGCCAACTCTAGGCAGTTCATGCCACTGTCAGGTTCTCCACCAACTGGACCAGCCAAGCTTCCCCTGTTCCCCTTGGCGGACAATGTCTGAGTGACACTATCTGTGTCTGGTTCTTTTTCTTTTTCTTTTTTGCGTACAATCACGGCATAGGACTGGCATTCGCCCCTCGTGTTGGGTACAAGATAACGGTTCCTATGAATACTGAAAGCATACACGGTATGAAGACGACTGGAGTGGTGGCGTTTTTATTGGTTGTTTTGTGTAGATAATCCATATATAGTCTTTTTGCGTTTGATGCCCTTTGGCAAAGCTGTAGTAGACTAGCCATGTATAGTAAATATCGGACAGCAAAACATATCTGGGCAAGCTGTAGTGGCATTCGCAATGAGTAAAATATGGAAGGGACATGCTTGGCCATTATGTGTCCCCGTGTAATACTCAGCATACACTCTTGGCGCATTCTTTACGGCATGTGTATTCACTCTGAGATTGGGCCGCCCTGAAGGCTGTTAGTTCAGCAGTGCATCACATGTGAAAGCTTCCAAATTCCGGGGCCGGTGTGGGGTGAAGGTGTGGCAAAGGCAATAGGATTGACTACTAGTAAATTGAATCAAATCGTGGGGCAGAGAGGCGTTGGGCACCCATCTGGAGCTGGCCCCTCAAGCGACACAAGTCAAAAAAGGGGCTAGAGCTTCTAGAAGCAGAGTTCTTTTGCGCCAAGGGAAAAGAAGAGCAGGACGCAGCCATGATGTTACGTACATATGTACGGAGTACATACATAAGTACCTGGACGCTCGCCAACCAAGGTCCCTGGAGATGCGAGGCGGCTGCGAGGCTGGCGGGCAACGTGCTCCGATTGGGCGCGTGCAAAATGGGCCAGACGGGGTTTGCGATTCCTCCCGCCCGCAGCCGGCCATGCGGTACCGGGGTCCGAGAAGCAGAATCCCCACCTACAGACAGCCGAGGCCGAGGCAAAGATGGAGATGGAGAATGGAGATGCCGCGAGCAACGCGTCTGCGGGCTTTACAGACGAGCCCGAGGCCGCTCAGGGCGCGCACATGTCCAGGCGAGAGCGAAGACGCAGAATGCACAGTCTAGAAATTCAGACGTGTAAAATGTGTTGATGGCGATGGAAGGCCGCGGCCACCAGACGTTCAAATGATGACCGCGCAGGTGGACGCAGACATGGGGTCTGGTGGGATTCCGCATTGCGCCGAAGCGGCAAGTAACGTAGAGCGCCGACGTGCGAGCCATTGACGTCGTGGTTGCGAAGAGGCCGACTGGTGTGTTGCCACAAAACAACAGCCCCTTTGGCTCGCCAAGTGCCCAACTTTTTATCTTTCCATTATTTCTCTCTGAATATTTCAAGCATGCGATTGTAAAACGCTTTACGGAGTAACTGCCGGCAAACCCCATTGTTGCATTCGCCATTGTTACAGACGTCCCGGCCTGGTTGCATTTTGCGCAGCGCCGCCACCGAGCGCCAGGCAGCCTGCAGCGAAACACAACCCCAGAGGCCGGAGTGACGGAACCGCAAATCACCTTACCCAGATTTGACGCCTTTTCCCGCCTGCGCACAACTCTCTTATTTTCCCTCCTTCGTTTCCCTCGCGCACAAAGGCATTTCCCCTCTTCTCAACCGCTCGACGCCACCATCCTGCCACCCCCATCAGACAGAATGCCCTCGGCCGCCGAGAACCTGCCCGCCCCCGTGGCCGACAAGCTCCCCCGCCTGCCAGAGACCAAGGAGGAGCTCCGGGAGACCAAGGACGCCGCCAAGTCGGGGCTGTTGTCGCAGCTGCGCGCCCTGGCCGCCGGCGGCTTTGGCGGCATCTGCGCCGTCGTCGTCGGCCACCCGTTCGACCTGGTCAAGGTGCGCCTGCAGACCGCCGAGCGCGGCGTCTACTCGTCGGCCGTCGACGTCGTGAGGAAGAGCGTTGCGCGGGACGGCCTGAGGAGGGGGCTGTACGCCGGCGTGAGCGCGCCGCTGGTGGGCGTCACGCCCATGTGTGAGTTTTCCCCCTCGCTGCTCCTTGCCGGCAGAACTGGGACTGAGGAACTAACTCTCTCCCCCTTTTTTCGCAAACAGTTGCCGTCTCCTTCTGGGGATACGACATCGGCAAGCAAATCGTCTCGGCCACGTCCGCCGTCGGGCCCGAGGGCCTGTCCATCGGGCAAATCTCCACGGCCGGCTTCCTGTCCGCCGTGCCCATGACGGCCATCACCGCGCCCTTTGAGCGCGTCAAGGTCATCCTCCAGGTGCAGGGCCAGAAGCAGCTCGCGCCCGGCGAGAAGCCCAAGTACAACGGCGGCCTCGACGTCGTCCGCCAGCTCTACCGCGAGGGCGGCGTGCGCAGCGTCTTCCGCGGCAGCGTGGCCACCCTGGCCCGCGACGGGCCCGGGTCCGCCGCCTACTTCGCCGCCTACGAGTACATCAAGCGCGCGCTGAGCCCCAAGGATGCCCTCACCGGCAAGCCCACGGGCGAGCTGAGCCTGACGGCCATCACCTGCGCCGGTGCCGCCGCCGGCGTCGCCATGTGGATCCCCGTCTTCCCCGTCGACACCGTCAAGTCTCGCCTGCAGACGGCCGAGGGCAACGTCACGCTCGGCGGCGTCATCCGCGAGCTGTACGGCAGGGGCGGCTTCAAGGCGTTCTTCCCGGGCTTCGGCCCTGCCCTGGCTCGTGCCGTGCCTGCCAATGCTGCCACCTTCTTGGGCGTGGAGCTGGCCCACCAGGCGATGAGGAAGGCTTTTGACTAAATATGGGGTTGGGGGGAAATACAGACGACATTTAATGATGTCAAGCGCCTCAAAAAGAGAGTGATAGAGAAATTCGTTTCGGCTTGGCGTAGAGAAAAGAGGCCAAGCTGCACAATGTACATGATATAATCAAGACAACGTCGAGACAATGGTGAGCCAACAGTCTTGGCTACATATGACTTGAGGAGAAGAAGGAGGCAGCGGCGGATGCTTTGCTATGCTGTTCAAGGTTCGTGTACAGCTGCCGTTGTCGATTCGAGGGTACACATGGCTTGCGACGTTGAGGATGAGGGATACCCCGTCGCATAGCTGCCGGGCAAAATTTTGGGAATATTATATATAGACTGCATGTCCGTAAATGGAGTTGCTTGAGAACAACTGGAGTTTATTTCTCGTCACTGAGAGACGTTGCCGCCCTAGAATGTGACGCACCCGTCCGTCATGCTGCATTCCATAGTTACTCGTGCCTCATTCATCACAGCTAAAAAAACACGGGCGAATCAAGTCGCGAGAGCAACTGTATCTTGACTCATACAATGCTTTTTTTTACCCGCCACTATGGTGCCCCTAAAACGCCTATGCCATGCAAATAGTTCAATGCCACAATCCCCGCTCCATCGTCACACAAAAAAACGCTCAGCAAATTACCGTCCACCCTAGGCCTAATACATTACACAGAGAAACAGACGAGGAGATAACACCATTCATGAATTTGCGTCAGCCTAGGCTCGTTCATTAACCGTCCATCGGCGCTTGGTGTGGCTCATATCCCGAAACCGCTCTGCCTCGTCTGGTGGCGGAGGAATGCCCCAGAGACCGCCGAGCCCTGCTCCAAGCTGCCTCACCTTCATCTCCTCTACTGGTTTATTGGGTCCCAGATTTGTATTCAACTTGATAGGACCAGCGAACATGAGTGGTGTCGGTGCGCCTTTGACCTTGTCCGCTCTCGTTGGTGGAAGCTCGGGAAACGTAGGTGCGTCGTCTATTATCGCTGATGATGAAGTCGACTCCGCCGGGAGATCTGGTTCCTTTTCTTCCTTTGTCGGAGAGCTCATCTTGAATCGCTTCTGGTCAAAGTCTGGTAGTATGGAGCCAAAGTCATCTACATCATCGTTTCCGTCGTCCATGAGTCGTAGTGACGAGGGTCCAGCTGACGGCGGGCCAGCTGACCAGAGGCCAAATCCTAAGGATGTTGCCGGCGGCGATCTATTGCCAGTGTTCGGAGACCCAGCTCCGTGGCCAAATCCCACCGAGGCGAGAGCGGAACCTCTTGGCAAAGGCCGCTGAGAAGCGGAATCCCGTCGAACTATTGGCGGCAAAGCGGCGCTGGCCGAGGTGCTGCGACTACCGGTGGAGGAGAAGGGATCTGAATATGTGAATGGGCTCATGACTGGGCCACCGATGCTTGACAGAGTTGAGGTCCGGCCTCGCGAGCCATTGTTTGTGTTCCAAATATTGGACATGAGGTTGGATTTCGCGGAAATCGGCGTTGAGAGGCTGGACCGCCGCAGGTGCTCTGTGCTTGCTGATAGTCGAATATCATACATCTTGTCGACTGCTACTACGGTTTTCTCGGAGGAATCGGGTGGTGCAGGTGTTGATGCCAGCAGTTCTTTGTAATCCAAATTTTGCTTCCGAGAAGCCATGGTAATGGACGCGATGCCAATGTCCATTAACACCGGTTGGTGAGTAATTGCGCCGATCAGAGCGTTACATCCAGCACCATGAGAGACCATAATCACAACTGTCTCCACATCTCCGTCGTGAGATTCATGCTCTGCGCCGCTGTGGTCGTCCATGGCGGACTTCGCCGGGACCAAGTCTGCTGGAGACTCCGTCGAGGCATACCAGTTGACCAGTTTTCTTACGCCTCTCCGGAACCGCTTGTGCATAGATGCCCACTCTTCCCCAAATTTGCCTCCGTCGCCAAAGTCGAGAGGTGCCCTCATTGAGTCCCATTGATAGTCTACTGCCACAGAGGCATCTCTTGCGTGAGCAACGAAGCCCTCTGGAATACTTCCGGAACTTGACGCAGCATATATAGGCCGTGGGGGGATATATCCCCTTTTCACATCTGGTCGTGTGGGAAGAGCAGCCCCTAATGCTGACATGTTTATTGACTCTTCGCTATCTGTTGAAGACGATCTCGGAGACTGTGCCGGACTTAATGTTGGTGATTGCCACAGAGACCCCGAAGAAGGTTGCGGAGCCTCCAGTTCGGGGACGTCGTCATAAATGCTGTAATCTTCCCGCCTCAGCAGTTCGGCTTTTGCGCCGCCTAGCATGAGAGCAGGGCCTGGCGGAGGTGTGATCATTTCGAAGTACTCTGGTGACAGCCATTCTCCCAAGAAAGAATCAAGCCGCAAGAGAGTAGACTTGAACTGAAATTGAGGCTCGGTTTGTGGTACGGCTCGTGGGAGAATCAAGTCGGAGGGATTATACATGGAATTGGGTAGGAATTGGGCAAGCCCAGAGCTGATGCCGATGGAGGTTTGAACACATCGTAGAAAGGGGGAACTATGAATGACAACCTTGAAGCGCTTCCGCTTTCTGGAGCCATTCAAAGTAAGGCGCGTTTCGTCGGCGGCTTTGGCTTGCTCGAGTATGCTTGCTATCTGGTTACCAACTCGTCGAGCTTGGAGGAAACCGCCGTAGGTCAGCGGGGGGTCGTAAGGGGTTGGAGATGTTAAGTGCCATGACTTGTCGGCAGCGTCTAGTCGGCTTCCATGTCTAAATGGTATTCACATGTTAGCAGGACCCTACATGCGTGTAGGTATGTTGATGGCGGCGGGCCGGGGTTGGGGGGCACCCGTCGGACTTACCTCACAACGAACAAGTATTCCGGAGGAGTAAGGCTCATGTTGACAGGGACTGAGGCGGGCATGGCCAGGAGCAATGCGCCAAATGGCAATGCGGCCAAAAAGAAGCGACCGCAATGGCAGACGTCGTTTTCTTTAAGGCTTGTTGGGCTCTTCGTATCGGAGGAAAGCAATCGTGCAGCGAAATCTCCGTAGAATGCGCCGTCATACGATGCAAGCCGGCGGGTCGCACTAGTAATAGTATTTATTTCCCTTGCAAGTGCAGGGCTCCCGCAGCCACCAGCAATAATCAAGTGCACAGGCGCAAGGGACAAAGTTTTGACTTTGCCTAGCCCTCGCAGGCAGACTGCGTGCGTATTCGCGTGGATGCTAGTTGACGGCCACGGGTGGGTGCAAAATAATAGTTGGTGAGGTGATTGCGGAAAGGCGTCGCGGCCGCGTTTGCAGTCACGGTGTCCTGATGGTTGAATCCAAGTCACCGGACACACCAACAATAACACCAAGGAACGAACAGCCCAGGCCCGGGTCAGTGCACCCAGGAGGCAACGAGGCGATGCACGTTTGACACAGCAAGCTGCATCAAAGGAGCGCGAGGCCGCAGCTGCGGTGGGTTGGGCAAATGGACTGCCAGACAGGAGGCCCAGCCGACTGATACGCCACCGGGACAAAGCAACGTCGCTGCGCAGGAGCTGCAAAGGACGAGGGTGGCGAGGTCGATGGCGAACAGACGCAGCTCAAAGCCGGAGGAGGGTGGTGATTGTGACGGCTTGGCACTTTCATCTGTATGCCCCGCGCTCTGGACACTTGGTGTTTCGTCGATTTGGAGACAGGGCAACACCACCCCGGCCCAACCAGGAACTGTGAGGTTCGGTATGGCAGCGTAGAGTGTGACAATACACAACGTCGCAGGGGACGAAATAAAGAAATAAAAACGCGAAGCAAGGAAAGGAAAGTGACGAGACCCTAGTGATCTTTGAACCAGGCACGGCGGTGCAGGCAACTTTAGAAGGCTTCATCGATATAAAAAGTGCCCCCACCCACCCGCCTGTGACAAGGCCCACTCCCCATGCACTATTTTGCTTACTCATCGCTGCCCCTGGCACTGGAGAGTGGGGCATCCATCAAGTTCCGTGCCATCAAATTGATGCCTTCCAAGTTTGAATTGTACGGAGTGCTCTTTCAACCTTTGTTGCAGCCTCCCGGTCCGTCAGATCATCAGGCACATCCTTGAGCTGACAAGTCTCTCATAGTCATCACTTGTGTCACTTTGTCAACCACAACCAGTTCTCAAAGGCTGAGCCGGCTGCAAAGCTTCCATCGACCGCGCTCAAATAGGAACCAGTCACCGCGCCATGTGACCAGACTGGATTTTCTGATTCCCACTAGCTGTCCCACCTCAGCTCCATCAGTTGGTGTCGTCATGGCACGTGGGCGACGCGGACTCCGCCAGGGTCCAAGCCTGGCACTCGAGCTGTTCGGACGACAATGACGAGCTAATCTCTGGATTTGCCGACTCTGAGGCTCTTTCAGGAGCTGGTGCAGCATCCGATATGGTCGAGTATGAAGAGAACATCTGACTTGCCGGACCCCAAAGTCGGAAACGTACAGTGGCAGGCAAAAGGGATTTTACTAGATTAAGTATCTGGTTATCGCGATTTATGCTATAGTATGCTATGGTATATCAGTGTATACACTTCTTAGAGGTAAATATATTCTGCCACAGACTGCATATATGTTGAACTCCTAGGTAGGTACATGCCTAGCACCTATCCGCACATTCGATACCTGGGCGGATACCACTTATCCGACATTCTTCTTTTAATATTGGAATTGCCCGGTGTAATCGTATTCTCTGCGGCAGTTCAGAACTTCAGAGGGTCTGATTGCGCGACTCACTCACGGCATCGACAAATATGGCCTGCAGCAGGGGGCCGCTCTGTCTGAAAGTTGCATGTTTTGGTACGAAAAAGTCTGCCTTATTACGCCAGGCATGACCACTTCACTCATGACACTGGTGCTCTCTCATTTGCCGTGATGCTAACGTCTGACGAGACGGTTGAAGCTCTTGGCAAAACGTGCAACATAAAGGGGCTGAGTTTTTACGCTTCGACTTGCAACGGCCATGCATAACGCCAATGCCCTGTCAGCGCTCCCATCAATCCCATTCCTCGACATTTCCAA